CTGTACCCTCCTCTTGCCTCATTCCGTTAATTTCTCTCTCCGTTCATCTCCGTCCACATGTGCATTTTTCTCGCTGTCTTGTTTTATCTGTTCAGCTACTTGCCCATCTACTTATTCATCCATCATCTGTCCATTCCTTCTTCCGTTTATCCATCTACCCATCCATCATCCATCCATCCATCATCCATCTGTCCATCATCCATCCTTATCCATCCTTCCATTTAACCCCCCCATCCATCCATTCACTTACTGATTGATATTATTTTTGAAACATTTGAGAGAACATTGGAAACGTATGGCCCTTACTATATCTAAATATATCTGAGTCTTATTCCTAAGAATAAGCATATTCATAACTTCTTTCTGTACCCTCCTCTTGCCTCATTCCGTTAATTTCTCTCTCCGTTCATCTCCGTCCACATGTGCATTTTTCTCGCTGTCTTGTTTTATCTGTTCAGCTACTTGCCCATCTACTTATTCATCCATCATCTGTCCATTCCTTCTTCCGTTTATCCATCTACCCATCCATCCATCATCCATCTGTCCATCATCCATCGTCCATCATCCATCCATCATCCATCCATCATCCATCCATCCATCATCCATCCATCCATCATCCATCCGTCCATCATCCATCTGTCCATCACCCATCCATCCATCCATCATTTATCTATCTGTCCATCAATCATCCATCCATCCATCATCCATCATCCATCCATCATCATCCATCCATCATCCATCCATCCATCATCATCCATCATCCATCCATCATCATCCATCCATCATCATCCATCCATCATCATCCATCATCCATCCGTCCATCATCCATCCATCATCATCCATCCATCATCATCCAACATCCATCCATCATCATCCATCCATCATCCATCCGTCCATCATCATCCATCCATCCATCATCCATCCGTCCATCATCTGTCCATCACCCATCCGTCCATCATCCATCCATCCATCGTTTATCTATCTGTCTATCAATCATCCATCCATCTATCATCCATCCGTCCATCATCCATCCGTCCATCACCCATCCATCATCCATCTATCTGTCCATCAATTATCCATCTGTCCATCATCCATCCGTCCATCATCCATCCATCATCCATCATCCATCTATCTGTCCATCAATCATCCATCCATCATCCATCCGTCCATCATCCATCCATCATCCATCAATCTGTCCATCAATCATCCATCCATCCATCATCCATCATCCATCCATCCATCATCCATCCATCCATCATCCATACATCTATCTGTCCATCAATCATCCATCCATCCATCATCCATCATCCATCCATCCATCACCCATCCATCCATCACCCATCCATACATCATCCATCCGTCCATCATCCATCCATCCATCATCCATCCATTCATCCATTTTCTGCCCTCCCTCTCCTTTCCCTTCCTTCCTCATCCATCTACTTGGGAATTCCTCTCTCCACCAGTCATCTAACCTTCCCTCCACCTAGCATTGACGGGAGAATCTCTGTGTTCCAGGCCCTGCTCAAGGATGTGGGGCTAAACTGGAGAGAGACTGGTTCTTGCCTTTGGAGAGTAATTCCCAAAGAAGCTGAAACAGCTCTGGGAGGACTAGTGTGAGGGTGTCAGGGCTGACATCTAGTACAAGGCGGAGACTGTCCCAGTGGACCACACCCAAGGACACTTGGTCGACCTCCATTGCGTCAGTCAAATGTAGCCAGACATGGGCTGTCTGACTATTCCTAGTCTAGGTTGGAGGACCAATGTCTTTGACTCCCTGGAGGAGGAGGCCATGCCCCAGGGGGGATCTGAGGGGGTGGAGCAGGGTCACATAGAGCGTGACGTTTGGATGTGACTGAGAGGTCAGAGGGCCACAGGTGGGTGTAGGGAAGAGTGCGAGAGACCAGACTGTCCTTGTTTAGGGCCAGGGCCCAGTGAAGAGAGTCCCGGACACCTGGACATGGCCCCCGCCAGGAGCCTTGTCCTCGGGGCCTACGCTCCAACCTTGCATGAGCCTGGCCTCCCGCCTGTCTCCAGGTGATGCCAAGCCTGGCTGATTCATAGAGTGTGTTGGGGAATTGACAGAAACCTGGGTCTGGTGGGTTCCTGCCCCTGCCCCTGGGCAAGCCTTCTCCCTGAACGCACAGTCAGTCCCCACTCATGGAACACACCTGCCTTGTGCTGCTTTAGCTACAAACGCTCACTGCTGGGGCTGGGGGGGGGCAGCTATTCCTCATATGGCCACCAGGGGTCACTCTCTGACCATGAAGGGCTCTGGGAGAGCAAGGTAGAGGCTGGAAAGCTGGGGTGGGGGTTGTGGCTACAGGGAAGGGGTGTCCACTGAGGGGCACTACACCTCAGTCCTAACCAATCCCTCCTAATGCCCGAGATCTCCCTTTCTGAGAAGCAGAAGGTTAGAACTGCCATCCCCATGAACATCCAGGTTGGGGTCAAACAGGGTGTTACTTACAAAGCCACTCAGAGTCCCTGTGTGCCTGCTTAGAACTGCCATCCCCATGAACATCCAGGTTGGGGTCAAACAGGGTGTTACAAAGCCACTCAGAGTCCCTGTGTGCCTGTGGGTGTGAGAGCAAGCAGCTCCCAAAACTTTGAGCCTGTGCAGGGGAGGGAAGATCTGATGTGGTAGGAGAGTCCCCATGCCCCTCTCCTTCCACTGGACACACACAAGGCTCTATGAGTTCAGCTCTGCTGGGGCTGGACGGTAGATTGAGACTCGGAGAAGCCAGGCCTCCGACTCTGCCTGCCTGCTGCTGTGGTCCCACTGTGTGCTGAAGCAGGCCTGTTCTACAGGACCTTGTCTATCCGTACCATCATGCATGGCTGCAGGCAAGGTCTCAAGGCTTGGGTAGGCATATTCCTTAGTAGCCAGGAGACTTTCTAGAAAGTCTGAGGAGCCCTCTAGGCCCTGGGTCCTAGCCTGCTCTTCTCTGGGATACTTTGGTGGCCATGGGCTTTCCCACTCGAGCCGTTTCCCACTCGAGTCATGGTTCTGTCTGCCTGACATTTTCATCACACCCCCACCCATTTCTGCAGATATAGAAGTGACTGTCTCATCCCGGAGCCAAATGCTGGGCCAGATCCTAGTGTCCAGGTTTGAAACCTGACTCCCCCATCTCCAGCCTAGGCATGAGTACAGTCAACTGCTCTGTTTCTCGTTCTTTTTAAATCTTGTATTACTTTGTGTGTGTGTGGCGGGGGCGTGGGGGGTGTACATGCACCATACAAGTGTGTGGAGGTCAGAGGACAACTTTCAGAGTCATTTCTCGCCTTCCATCTTATGGGTCTTGTTGGTGAGCCGGGGCCGTCGGTCTTGTTAGTGAGCCTGGGCCGTCAGTCTTGGTGGAAACCTCCTTTGCCCCGTAAGCCATCTTCCAGCCTCTTCTTCTCCCTTTGCCTCTTCTTCCTCCTCTTCCTGTCTCTCCCTTTCTCTCTGCCTCTGTCTCTCTCTGTCTCTCACTCTGTCTCTGTCTCTCTCTGACAGGGTCTCGTAAGCTGAGGATGACCTCAAACCTTTGATCCTCCTACCTTCACGTTCCGAGTGCTGGGGTTGTAGGTGCGCACCACCGCACCAGTGTTAGGCAGCACTGGGGAGCGACCCTACTTGCTGGCAAGCACTCACCAACAGGGCCACATGCCCAATCCTCAGTTTTCTTTCCTGCAGCATGGGCCATAACCGTGCCCGCAGCATGGGCCCTGCTGAGGAAAATCAATGTGATGGAGCTGAGCAAGGTGCCTGGCCTGTTGCAGGAGGTCACAGGATAGCTGTGGTGATGATAACACTGTCTGAGGAGCGTGGAGTGGTCTAGCCATCTGGTGCAGAAAGGACCAGGCAGAGCAGGAGCATCAGGGTAGACTTCCCAGAGGAAGCAGCCAGCAGCAGGGTTTATAGCAGATGAAAAGGGAATGGGATGAGGTCAGGAGGCGGGGCACCGTGGGAGCAGGGTCAGGAGGCAGGGCACCGTGGGGGGTCAGGAGGCGGGGCACCGTGGGAGCAGGGTCAGGAGGCGGGGCACCGTGGGAGCAGGGTCAGGAGGCGGGGCACCGTGGGAGCAGGGTCAGGAGGCGGGGCATCGTGGGAGCAGTGGAGGGAGGCGGGGCACCGTGGGAGCAGGGTCAGGAGGCGGGGCACCGTGGGAGCAGGGTCAGGAGGCGGGGCACCGTGGGAGCAGGGTCAGGAGGCGGGGCACCGTGGGAGCAGGGTCAGGAGGCGGGGCACCGTGGGAGCAGGGTCAGGAGGCGGGGCACCGTGGGAGCAGGGTCAGGAGGCGGGGCACCGTGGGAGCAGGGTCAGGAGGCGGGGCACCGTGGGAGCAGGGTCAGGAGGTGGGGCACCGTGGGAGCAGGGTCAGGAGGTGGGGCACCGTGGGAGCAGGGTGATGCCGTCCACTACAGCAGGGTGGACTCCTGTGTAAGTAGAGCAGTGGAGATGCGGAGTGGACATGTGGGTGCTGAGAGGACTTGCTGGGTCCTCAGAGCTGTGCCCAAAAAGGCAGTGTGGAGGCACCGTCCTGCTGGGACAGGAGTGTGGGCTTCCCTGGCCACCAGGGTCTCCATGATCCCGAGCTGTAGAGCTGCGGGGTTTCCTTTATTCCGGTCTTGTGGAGCTGTGGTGCTGCTGGTGGTGGTCATGGGGTATCTTACTGTTTTTAGGTAGTGTTTAGTTACTGAGAACATCGCTGCCTCCCAACAACAGGCTTTGACCCAGGCATTCTGAATCCCACTCACAGATGAGCAGCACCTGTCGGATTCCGTTCCCTCTCCGGTCCCCTTCCCTGCTCATCTCCAGTGTGGTAGGTGGGGAACAGACAGAAGGCATTTCCTCGGATCCGGGAGCCCAGCGCAGCACAGGGGATCACCTCCCACCTTGTGGTCTCTGAGCGGCTTGTCCTTGTTGGTAGTATCAAGCCTGCACAAGTACCATTAACTTCTGAGTAAATATGACCCAATTTTTGTGTTTCCCAGACTTACTAATAGTCTCCCCAGTTCTTCAGTTCTTATCTAACTGTTATATGTGTGCATATGCACTATAAAAATAACCTTTGGGGGAAAAGTAAGCATCAGCCAGGTGTGATGGCACACGCCTTTAATTCCAGCACTCAGGAGGCAGAAGCAGGCAGATCTCTGAGTTCAAGGCCAGCCTGGTCTACATAGTGAGTTCCATAGTGAGTTTCATAGTGAGACCCTGTCCTCATCCCACCAAATCCATCTCCACTGTCAGTTTTCCCTCACCCCCCTCCCAGCCTGTCCTGAGTGGTCACTAATCCTGTTTCTGTTCTATTTGATTTTCATCCGGGACATCTTATATACACAGACTCCTACAGCGTGTGGCCTGTTGTGTCTGGCTTCTTTCACACGCCTGTCTTCAGTGTGTGTCCTCACAGTGTCTGTATCAGGATGTCGTTCCTTCCGGTGGTAGAGTAGCCTCCCGCAGGGTGGCTGTACTGCCCTCTGTCCATCCGCTCATCCGCGGACAGATGTCTGAGTAGTTTTGGCTTGAGGCGTCAGGAACAGAGCTGCTGCAAACAGCCACAGGCACGTCTGCAGAGACTCATGGGAGTACACCCAGGAGGAGTGGCTGTGTGGGGAACCCACGGGTTGTTTTCCGAAGACCTGCAGCACTTGCAGCTCCCAGCAGCCATACACAAGGGCAGCTCTGCCGGTCCTTACCAGCCCTCGTCCATCTTTTTGATTCCGGCGTCGGTCCTCAGTGGAGAGCATCTCTTCAGGGTCTTTGCCCTTTTATAAGTTGCGTTCTGAGTTGCTTTGTTTTTCTTGAGTTGTGAAAAGTCTACATGTTCCAGGTACAGGCTCTTTAATAGACACACGACTACAAACACTTCCTCCCATCCTGGGGATCTCTCTGTCATCTGGGAGTAGGAAGGTGTTTTTCTCATCTTTCCTTCTCTCCCTCTGCTGTGAGCTCTGCTGGGACTCTGATATTGCCTAGAGCAGTGTGGTGGCCTCCAGGGCAGCTAATGCCCCTCTCTCTTCTGCTTTCCTGTCTTTGGGAGCTACCCCTCTTTCCCTCCCATCCCCCCTCTTTCCCCCCCTCTCTCTTTCCATTACTGTATGGGTTTTGGAAAATAGAGGCTCAAATGGGAGAGACTTGACCTCTATGAGTCACCCAACGGCCCATTGGCACTCTGTCTTGGGTCCTATGAGGAGAAGGTACCTTGGGTTTAGAACTGGGCCTACCTCAGGCCATGGGAACCAGGCCCACCAGGCCTGCCTGCCTGACACTCTGGCCTCTTTGCTGTGTCTGATGCCTGTGGACTGTCTGCTCTGCCTTTCAGAAGATGCCCAATGTCCGAGATCACGACGCCTCTGTCTACCTCCGCCTGCAGGGGGATGCCTTGTCTGTGGGTGGCTACGAGGCTAGCCCCATCTTTTGGGAGGAGGTGAGACATCAAAGGCTCTGTGGTGGAGAAGCAGAGGTTCCCCGGCCCCACCCAGCTTGACTCCCCAAGACCCCAACATTCAGGTATCACAGAAGAGGGAGCAGCTGCTGCAGACCCTCAGTGAGAAGCCCGAACTCCAGAGGAGTGCAGGAAGGTCTCAGACCTTTCCAGTTGCAATGCTGGGCGTTCCCTTCCCTGCCCCTCCCTGGGGGCTGCAGTGAGGCCTCCTTGGTCTGGTGGCTCCCCAGCAGCCTCTGGGCTGGTGTACAGGCCATGGGAACACATGACCTTACCATTCACATTTAACATGTAACAGTCATTTAACAGTCACATGACTGTTCTGGGCCAAATGTTGCTTTACTTTCTGGGGAAGGGGAGAGGATAAGATAAAAGCCCTTGCCTCAAGGTGCCTTTAAATTGGTGGGGAGACAAGAAATAAGAGAGAAATAGTGCAGCGTGGATAGTGACTGTACCCTGAATATAATTAGCAGGTTACAGATCAGCCAGGGAGACTGGTGGCCAGGGCAAAGGCACAGGTGGTCTGGGTGGGCACCTGTTCAGGTTGTGGTGGGGGCCTTGGGGAAGCTCCAGACGCCCTTCTCAAAGGGCGAAGGGATGTCAGAGGGCCAATGGCAGGGGAGTGGTTGGCAGCGCTGACTTGTAGAGGGTTTTGTGAGCTTATGGTGGGTCATGGGAAAACATGGAGGGTTCCAGAGCAGGGCAGGTGTTATATAATTCGAGAGAATGGGTTAGAGTCAGGGAGCCAGTGCCCAGCTGAAGACCACAGAAATAACTCAGGGCAGCTAAGTGTGGTGGATCCAGGTGGGTAGGGGGAGTCGGTGGATTATAGCCCACAGGAAAGCCCCATCCTTTGACTCAGATTCTGACCCAGTAGAAGCCAGCCTCGTGCCCCACCTGGCGAGGGTCAGCCTGTACCCCACGCAGGCCTGGCAGGGGTTCCCTGTTCCTGCCTCTGCAGGTGTCGGACAAATTTGCCTTCGGCCTCTTTGACCTAAACTGGGACGTCTTCACCCAGCACATTGAAGGTGCCATCAACCGTGTCCCTGTGCTGGAGAAGACAGGAATCAAGTCCACGGTGTGTGGCCCGGGTAAGTGTGGCTGGGGCCAGGTGAGGCTGAGGCCAGGGCAGGCGTCCTTGAGTTCCTCTGGGTGACACCTATTGGTAACAGTGCTCTTCCCAAGGGTGACCCGTCTCTTGTTACCTGATTTGCGGCTCTGGGCCTGACTGGCAGGCTTTTATTTTCCGTTGCGGGAGAAAGCCCTACCTAGTAAGGACAGCAGTTTATCCCTGGACCCTGATCCCTCCACACTAAGATCTTGGACCCTAGGCCCCACTCATTTATAGTGTTTTCATCTGTAAAATGGGAAAGAAGGTCCTGTCCCAGCACTGTGTGAAACACAGCAAGGACACGAGGGACTGACGCTTTCCTGGATACAACGCTCATGGGTAGGAACCCCAAGTTCTGCACCCAGTGCTTATCTCCCTGGCCAGAACCCCCCGGCCCTCACCTCGTCCCCGGTCTTTGGGTAGCCAGCACTCAGTAGGGTTAGAGACCAGCTGAGGACAGAAAGATTCTTGACTAGGCCCCTGAGTCCCAGCCTCCTCGCTGGCCTCCAGGAGGTGCTCAGCTCCCAGATGCCTCCTGTGGATTAGCCACAGAGCAGCCATTGCTTACAGAGCATCTCGGGCTCCTTCCCAGAGTGGGAGTGCAGGACTACTACCTGAGGGTTCTGGCAGAGCTCTTGTCTGGAAAGCAGGCTCACAGTGCCCCTGGAGGCTGACACTCAGGTAGACACCTTGTGGATGAGAAACCCAGGGTGAGGCTAGGGCGGGGGGCAACTTAGTTACTCTTCCTGTTACTGTGATTAAATACTCTGCCAAAAGCAACTTAATGGGGAGAAAGGGCTTATCGTGGCCCGCGGTTCAGAGGTACAGTCCACCGTGGCGGAGGAGTCCTGCCCACATGAGCTTGAGGCAACTAATGTTGCCCTGATGCTCAGGCAGCGGAGTGACAGAGCCTGGTGCTCAGTGCTTCTCCCTCTTATACAGCGCAGATCTAAGCCTAGGGAACGGTCTTCCCATCTCAGCTAACCTAATCTAGAAAGTTCCTCACAGGTATGCTGGAGGCTGGTCTCCTAGGTGATTATAGATCCTGTCTAATTAACAATCAGTATTAACCATCAGAGGGCCAGTTGGTGCTGTACTGTGTTGTAGGCATGGTGGAAACTTGTGGTACCCACAGAAGCTAAGGGCTAGACCCCCTCCTTCCTGTAGGATGAGAGTCAAGTTCAAACAGATGTGGGGTAGCCCGAAAGGAAACTGTGTCTTGGGTTTGATAGGCTGAACAACCCAGGTCTCAGAGCCCCTGCATACCACAGTGGGAGGTAGAGACAGAGTACTGGTCAGTGAGAGTGGTAAGGGGCTAAGAAGCCGAAGGCTGGGTCCAGACCAGCCACTTCTGAGTCCTATGATTGAAAGGGACAGAAGGAGCCAGGAGGTCAAAGGACTTCCACGGGGCAAAGTGACTAGGCCAGCTCCAGAGACAGGAAAGGTTCCAGCTGGAGGGGACTGTGGCCCTCGGGAGAATCCAACCCTCGCTATCTGGATATGCCTGGTGACTGACTACACAGCGGCCAGCTTGGCCTGTGTTTGTCTGTGTGGCTCATGAGGAAGGCTGTAGCCCAGGGAACAGCCCCAGGAAGGCCAGATGGAGCCGGCAGCCAGCCACAGTGAGCAGGCTGTGAGTGTGCCTGATCTGGGGCGTGGGTGAGGGGCTATGACTCACGTCCCTGCTCAGCCGGAGTAGGACTGATGGTGAGAAACACAGGAAGAATCCCAGGGGCACGAATGTCCCCAACGGCTCTCTCCATCTAATTATCCCAGGAACTGTCATTCCCCCATGGAGCCCTATTTTGGGGGAAGTGCGCATTCAAGGACAGCTTGGGTCTGGTCTCCCACCGCTGAGGGTAGGTTTGGGGTGGGGGGAGTTAGCATTTCTCCTTGCCAGGTAGCTAAGCAGCCTTGGGCCTCCAGAAGGTCAGAGATGTCCCAGCCCTTGACCTAAGAGCTTAAAGGCTTGGACAGAGAGTTCAGAACCAAGGTAGAGTGGTGAATTCAAGTCCTGCCACCCGCTCTCAGCCTTGCCTGTGTTAAACATCCTGGGGACTCCGGTTTCCATACCTGCCCTCCTGACCTAAGTTGTGCCCTTTAGTTCCTGAAAAACTTCCCAGAACTTCTCTCTCACCTTCTTAGGCTGGTCGTGGCTCCTGTCACCTTCTCCAGCCTCTCTGATCCTGCACAGGTGGCTGTTCCAGCCTCACTTTGCCCTGGGGAATATCCGACCTCCACTGTAGACCTTCCTCCCCTCCTGCTTGGAGAACCGATGGCCCACCCCCACCATGGCCTCACATCGGCCTCTGTTTGACCTGCCGGGACTGTCAAGCTGTTTGTCGCCGCAGACCAGATTCTTCCACTTCTCCACTGGTTCTGCAACACAGCGTCTGTTGTTGTCTTAACCCCACTCATTGGCTCCTCCTCTGCCTCTCTCAGTGTGCCCATCCAAATGCTAAGTCCTTTGAGAGCACACAGAGCTAAGTGTGCAACCCCAAGGGAAATACTGGGCTTGTATTTGGGCAGCATGTGTAGCTGGCAGATCTGGAAACCTGCTGTCTCCACTCACGGCCTGTATCAGAACCATTTCATGTTGCCTAACAGAATGGCCAGCTTTCCCCTTACGCATTCTGGTACTGATGTCCATCAGTGGAGGCCATCTGAGAAACGAGAGGCTCAGTTTGTTGACCCTGTCTTCCCCTGACCTTGCCAGAGCTGCTTCCTTTTGCCCTCTGAGGTGCCCACAGCTTCCTGGTTCCAAAGCCGGTTACTTTTCAGCGCAGACGCCTCCTGTCAGCAAAGGTTGGGTACTGATTGCCTCTGAAGAGCAGGATGAGGCTTGTTAAGCTCCCCACCTGCAGAGGTTAAGAACCTGGGATTGGATCGGGGCAGCTCTGCTGGGGGGCAGGAGCATAGCAAACCCCAGCAGGCACCTGCCCCTTCTGTGACAGACACTGGGCAGTGCTGTTCATGTCATGCAGGGTCGCAGGGAGCAGCCAGCTCCTCGGTGACCTTAGATTCCTCATCTTGCTGCACTTTTTGAGACATGAGGGTGTCTTACTTGAGCGTACCGTCCTGTCTCCCTTACTTTTCTGTCGGTTCCACTGGGGTGGAATTCGTCTTGTTCAGAGCCGCCTCCAAGAGCCAGGCACGTGATAGGAGGGCACGACGTCTGTAGACTATCCCAGTCCTGTGGAGTAAGTGCTGTCATCTCAGTGGTTCATATAGGAAGACCAGTGCTCCGAGAGAGATGCAGCAACTTGTCTTCAGGCCGAGCGAGGACCAATTCAGGATGGTGGGTGCAGAGTCCCTCTGCCACCATGCTCTGGTCTCTGAGGCACCCTGGTGGCAGAGCTGGAGGCTCAGTCCCCTCTCTCAAAGAATGTATGATCGATCATTCATTCATTCATTCATTCATTCATTCCAGAGTGTGTATCGAAGACCTGGCTGGGCTCTGTGCTGGGTCTGGGGACATGGCTGCCAGCAAGGCTGGGTCCCTGCCCTCCTTGCCCCATGGACAATGACACAACAGGATGGTGGGTCAGTGAGGGGAGCTGAGTCAGAGGAAGGGCCCTTGTTGGTTGGACAGTGACAGTGGCCTTGATGAGCCCATGAGGCTGGTCAGGTCACAGGCCTGGTACTGATGACTGGTGCTCAGGGGGACAAAGGCAGGAGAACCAGAGGGGCTTCCTGAGGGAACAGTACTGCTCTGGGTGTCAAGAACAGGAACGTCTGCACAAAGGGGTCACTCAAGGACCCCACATCCCATCCCTACTGTCCTAGGACACCCCACATCAAGAGCCCGAGGTCTAGCAGAGCCTGAGACCTCTGTTCTTTTCAGAATCCTTCACACCTGACCACAAGCCCCTGATGGGGGAGGCGCCTGAGCTCCGCGGCTTCTTCCTCGGCTGTGGTTTCAATAGTGCAGGTGAGGGGGTCCTGAGAGTGAGGCCCCCGTTCCTCAGATCCTGGGGGATCCCCGGTGGTGTGGAGACAAGGAGGTCTGTGTGGTGGGGTGCAGCCCTGCTGTGGGCATATGGCCCTCCTCCCCCCTGGTGTGTAAGAGCAGGGTTTGGGTGGGGCTACCATGGAAATGGGGCCCCAGAATTAGATGTGGAGGCCCGGGGAGCAGGCTGCAGCTCTGTGCTCCCATCCCACCAGGCATGATGCTGGGTGGTGGCTGTGGGCAGGAGCTGGCCCATTGGATTGTGCACGGACGCCCATCAAAGGACATGTACAGCTACGACATCAGGCAAGTGGACCGGCAGAAGCCAGAGAGCAGGGCTGTCTGTGCCAGGACAGCAGGGCACAGCACAAGGGCTGTTTCGGGAACGAGGCTCCCTTGAAACCCAGACAGCCTTTTGGAAGGAGAATCAGCGAGGGAGGAGGGAAGGAGGCAGCGGGTGGTGGGTGGTGGTATTGAGGGACACTGGGTTTGGAAGTCCACGGCCTCTATGGTTTCCAGGGTTCCACCCGACCCTCTGTCCTCATTAGCAGGATCCCATCATCCCACTTCACAGGTGGGGAGACTGAGGCTGGGGAGCCAGCCCAGCTGAGATGGTCGTTTGTATACACACAGCGACCAGGCCCTGGGCTCCCTGGCTGTCAGCCATGCCTTCACTCTAAGGCAGGGTGGCCAAGCATGAGTCAGACCCAACATTGGGAAGGCTCTGCCCCATGGCACAGGGCAGTCCTGTGCTGTTATCAGGATCTGGAGCCACAGACAAGCCAGTGGTATAGGCGCAGAAGTCTGTGGGGGAGCCCTGGGCACTGCTGAGCCATGTTGCCTGACTAAATGCTGACCGCAGGAGCTGGGAGGCATCTCAGGGCTACAAGACCTTCAGCAAGTCTGAGCCATCTCTTAGAGGACAGGACACAGAGACAGGGCTCCCCACCTCTCCTCTTATCCAGGCTCCAGGTCCTACCTCCAGGACAGGCATCCTGAGTGGTGCAGCGTGGCCCATGCCTAGGGCCACACCAGGTACTGCAGGCCACTGCAGGGACTTAGCAGCTGGACGGGAGTTCTGTCTGCAACTCTTGGCTAACAGGCTCTTGGAGGGACCCAGCTGCCCTGTTGGACTGACATGGGGACAGGGTGGAGGAGCTGCTGGCTCAGCTCAGGGTACCCCACAGTCCTGCTAAGCCAGTCCCTTCCTGGCTGAATGAGGACACTGCACCCATGGGGGAGGTGATGTCTGGCCACCATGGAGACAGATGGCCGACTCTGAGATCCCTGGAATGCCCCTCCCTGCCTGGCTCCTGGCACTGTGAGGTCAGCCCGGCAGCCCCTCAGAGGCTGTCTGGGGCTGTGCCCATGCTTTCCTCCCAAAGAACATTCCAGAAACGATACAGCTGCAAGGAGCCTCAGGGAAGGGCCTCGTTGCAAACAGTAGAGCAGCGCGGCCTGATTTCCCTCCGTTGTGTGGTCAGAGTCGCAGGGGTGCCCTCAGTGCCAGCCTCGCAAAGGCAGGGCTCTAGCTCAGACCCTAGATTACTCGAGATCACGTGTACCCATGTAGTGTGCCCAAGAAACAGCCACTATCAGGACCAGCTGTGTCTCCCCCTACCCCGAGACCTGTCAGAGAGAGAGAGAGAGAGAGAGAGAGAGAGAGAGAGAGAGAGAGAGAGAGAGAGATTGAGTATCTCTCCTCTGTGCCCATTATTTCCTGATGAATCATGTTTATAACCCCAGAATGTCAAGGGCAGGATACACTCCCTAGTCCTCATGTATGTCAGGGACTTGCCTAGGTAGGGCAGCCAACACTGAGTCCTGGGCATGTCTGGACCCCAGCTACATGGAAGGGTCCCAGGGCTCACCCAGTACCAGGCAGCCTCCAGAACATAGCAGCTGACTCCCCCCACAACAGAATAGACAGTTCTCATCAGCCACTCCGACATCACCAGTTGTGCAGCCCTGGGCCAGTTCCTTCTCTTCGTTGAGCCTCAGTTTCTGCATCTGTGAAATGGGAAGGTCAGGTCACCCTACCCTTCTCCTCTAGGCATCCTGGGCCCATGTATGTGGCCATTTCACCCAACCTGGTGGAGACCAGAGGGAGTGTGGACTGTTCTCCCCAGGACATCCTTGGCCGGGTCAGCTGTGGGAGGAGTAGTTCATTACTAAGTGAAGACAGGGGTCCAGACCGCTGCAGGCTGGGACCCTGACAGGCTGTCCCTAAGCAGTGACTTGTCCCCTCTGTCTGCTACAGGCGCTTCCATCACTCACTCACGGATCAGCCCCGCTGGATCCGTGAGCGCAGTCATGAGTCCTATGCGAAGAACTACTCGGTGGTCTTCCCCCACGATGAGCCCCTGGCAGGCCGCAACATGAGGAGGGACCCCCTGCATGAGGTATCCCAGGCATGCACAGACAGAGGCACCCTCCAGGAGGGCTTTGGGGTGTTGGGGCCATAGACCCATGAGGGGTGCCACACTCTAGATCATGCCCTGGTGTTCCCTGAGCTGTGGGCAAGGCACTGCATGGGTGCTGGAGTGGGGGAGGGAAACCCGGCTCCTGCCAGGGGCTTCCAGCTGAGTAGAGAGGCAGAGTCTCCAAAAGCAGACGTGGGAGCTGGAGAGATGGCTCAGTCAGTAAAGCTTTTGTCTCAAGGCCCCAAGTTCAAGCCCAGAGCCCGTGTATAACAACTTGGGCGTGGGGGTGCGTGCTTGTGACCCAGCACTGGGGAGGCAGACACAGGAGGCTCCTGGGGATGCCCTGGTCAGCCAGTCTAGCCTAGCCAGTGAGCTCCAGGTTCAGTGAGAGACTGAATCAAAAAACAAAGTGGATGGCACCTGAAGACCAAGGTTGTCCTGTCCTACACACACACGAACAGCTGTGGGGGTCTGCCCTGATGCTGTAACAGTGAGGGAGGTGGGGGCTTGGTGAGTGTGTACAGGCAAATGTCACAGGGGCAACCAGGCCATGCACATGGGGAGAAAGGTTTGTGCTTATAGAGTGTGCTTGGGATACCTTCACCGTTGGCGAGCGTCTACGGACATGATGAAACCCTTTGCTTGGGGTCCCTGCCTCCATTTTGACATCCTGTGTTGGGGTCCTGCCTACTTGGGGTAGGAGTGAGGTCCTGTCACTGATTCCTCAGTGTGGAGGACTCAGGGAAAGCATGTCATGCCATGTGTCCTGGGGGAGGAGGCAGGTACAGCTGAACTCTGTCTTTGCCCACAGTGAGAACCAGGGGTCCCCATCTCAGACACACTTGTTCTTGGAGCCCCTGCCCCCATGCCAGCTGGTCAGCTTGGCCCTTCTGAACTTTAGAGGAAGGAGTCTTTCCCTGCGTCTTTCCTGATGTAATTTATTTTCAGACGACCCTCTTTACAGTGCTGCATTGTGTCAGCAAATTTTTTTTCATGGTGAAGTTATAGAACACAGGTTGGCTGTTCATACCGCTGTAAAGTAACACTTTGGGGTGCTCATCCCGTCACTGTGCTGTCAGCCACACTGTGTCCGTACAAATCCACTACACGCTTGTCTCCCCAGAAGGAAACTTCGTGCCCTTGGATACCCGTCCTTACCATCCCTCCACCACGCTCCAGCTCCCTGACTCCATGAATCTGCCTGTCCCTCTGTGGATCCATCGTCCTTCTGTGGATCCTCCTGTCCCTCTGCGGATCCTCCTGTCCCTCTGTGGATCCTCCTGTCCCTCTGTGGATCCCCTGTCCCTCTGTGGATCCATCTGTCCATCTGTGGATCCTCCTGTCCCTCTGTGGATCCCCTGTCCCTCTGTGGATCCTCCTGTCCCTCTGTGGATCATCCTGTCCCTCTGTGGATCCATCTGTCCCTCTGTGGATCCTCCTGTCCCTCTGTGGATCCTCCTGTCTCTCTGTGGATCCTCCTGTCCCTCTGTGGATCCTCCTGTCCCTCTGTGGCTTGACCTGTCTCTCTGTGGATCCATCGTCCTTCTGTGGATCCTCCTGTCCCTCTATGGATCCATCTGTCCCTCTGTGGATCCTCCTATCTCTCTGTGGATCCTCCTATCTCTCTGTGGATCCATCTGTCCCTCTGGGGATCCATCTGTCCCTCTGTGGATCCTCTGTCCCTCTGTGGATCCTCCTGTCTCTCTGTGGATCCTCCTGTCCCTCTGTGGATCCTCCTATCTCTCTGTGGATCCATCTGTCCCTCTGTGGATCCTCCTGTCTCTCTGTGGATCTGTCTGTCCCTCTGTGGATCCATCTGTCTCTCTGTGGATCCATCATCCTTCTGTGGATCCTCCTGTCCCTCTGTGGATCCATCTGTCCATCTGTGGATCCTCCTGTCCCTCTGTGGATCCTCCTGTCTCTCTATGGATCCTCCTGTTCCTCTGTGGATCCTCCTGTCCCTGTGTGGATCCTCCTGTCCCTCTGTGGATCCTCCTGTCTCTCTATGGATCCTCCTGTCCCTCTGTGGATCCATCTGTCCCTCTGTGGATCCTCTTGTCCCTCTGTGGATCCTCTGTCCCTCTGTGGATCCATCTGTCCCTCTGTGGCTTGACCTGTCTCTCTGTGGATCCTCCTGTCCCTCTGTGGATATTCCTGTCCCTCTGTGGCTTGACCTGTCTCTCTGTGGATCCATCGTCCTTCTGTGGATCCTCCTGTCTCTCTGTGGATCCTCCTGTCCCTCTGTGGATCCTCTGTCCCTCTGTGGATCTATCTGTCCCTCTGTGGATACTCCTGTCCCTCTGTGGCTTGACCTGTCTCTCTGTGGATCCATTCCTTCTGTGGTGGATCCATCTGTCCCTCTGTGGATCCTCTGTCCCTCTGTGGATCCATCTGTCCCTCTGTGGATCCTCTTGTCCCTCTGTGGATCCTCTGTCCCTCTGTGGATCCATCTGTCCCTCTGTGGCTTGACCTGTCTCTCTGTGGATCCTCCTGTCCCTCTGTGGATCCTCTGTCCCTCTGTGGATCCTCCTGTCTCTCTGTGGATCCTCCTGTCCCTCTGTGGATCCACCTGTCCCTGTGTGGATCCTCCTGTCCCTCTGTGGATCCACCTGTCCCTCTGTGGATCCTCCTGTTCCTCTGTGGATCTGTCTGTCCCTCTGTGGATCCACCTGTCCCTGTGTGGATCCTCCTGTCCCCCTGTGGATCCACCTGTCCCTCTGTGGATCCTCCTGTCCCTCTGTGGATCTCCTGTCCCTCTGTGGATCCATCTGTCCCTCTGTGGATCCATCTGTCCCTCTGTGGATCTCCTGTCTCTCTGTGGATCTACCTGTCCCTCTGTGGATCCACCTGTCCCTCTGTGGATCTGTCTGTCCTAAACACAGGCTGGAAAGGGAGCTGGGCCACTCTGGGGCTAGTGTAAGGACTTCATGCATTTATTTTTATGGCTGAATACTATTTCACTGCTGCCTACACCATATTTTGTTTTGACTGTTTTGAGAAAGTGTCTTGCTGTGTAGCCCTGGCTGACCTTGAACTTGTGATCCTCCTGTCTCAGTTTCCCCAGTGCTGGGATTACAGGGGTGCCTCACCATGCCTGGCTCTAAACAGTTTCTCGGTTTTTTTTGGTTTGTTTTTTTCATGACTTCTCTCCACAACCTCCAGTGCTAGGGCTCAAACTCAGGGCCTCATGCATGCTATACAAGTTCTCTACCACTGTGCTCCACCCCCAGCTGTACAGCATAAAGAGTTGGCAGAGGCAGCCGCTCCTTCCGTGGGTGATGGGAGCAGGGCTTCCAGGAATGTTGCTGTGAGCATCTGAGACCCTCTTCGTTCCTGGTGTACACAGACCTGGGAAGGGAGATATCGGGTCCCAGGTCAGCTTGGCTTTGGGGAGTGCTGTGGCCAGAGACTAATAATAGACCGTTGTCTCCTCCATGTTTTGGAATTGGGAGATTCAGTACCAAGCTGTCCCTCACCTTGTCCCCGACCGAGGTCCTCCTGACCGAGGAAGACCACTGTCTTGGTGTGTCTTCCCAGAGCAGAGAGCATCCCGGTCCCTCCTCTTTTAGGAGGGTTGGGATCCCACCTGTGACCTCTCCTCACAGCCTCTGTCTCCAGACTGTCACATGGGGGGGGGTCAGGCCTCAGCATGTGCACTTATCGGGGGTACAGTTCAGCTCCTGCTAGAACATTCTTTAGATCGGGAATCTCTAGGTTAGGTGAGGGTGTTGGGAGAGCTCTGGAGAAGAACAGCAGCCTGGGCTGGAACCTTGCTGTCCTGGGCACTCTTGGATATGAGTGACAGGTGCACCGGCTTTGCCTCCTATGGGGTGTCTGGCCTCCTGTAAAGGGCATTCTGTCTCTTGCCAGGAGCTGCTTGGACAAGGCTGTGTGTTCCAGGAGCGACAGGGCTGGGAACGGCCAGGATGGTTCAACCCCCAAGGGACAGCTCCGGTGAGTGTGACGCCTGACTGCTTATCCATGTGGCTGAGCATCCCTGGTCCACCCATAGCCCTCCCAACCTCAACATCTGCTCAGCACCTCGAGGACACTGGGAGACAGGTCAGTCTCGTACTTAGGAAGCTGAGTGCTAACCTGAGAGCAGTCAGTGCCTCAAGTCAGTGATGTGGCACCCCAGAGACCTTGCTCCCAACCTGCCTGCAGTGGCCAGACTTCCCAGGCCCATGGGGACCAGCACCGCAGGGCCCACAACAGGAATGGAGCAGAAGATTCCGCTGGTTCCAAGAGGAATGCAGACTGTCTTCTCCTGCTCTTTGGGCATGTATTTTTGGCAATACCAACTGTTAGTTGATACGAGTGGGAGGAATTATGCCTCCGTGTGTCAGTTTACCCACTGAGCTGCCCATGTGCTGGCCTCTAGGATGCCTCAGGGGTCTCCCCCAGACCTTAGGAAAGGCTCTAGGGAGTAGGCTGTGGAGGAGGCTTTGAGGCCAACATATCGAGTTCCATGGAAGTTAACCCCTTTGTGCCCATGCAGTGTACCATCCCACTGACCACCTTCTATCTCTATGGAAACCCAGGTCCGTGACCAGCTCCAGGGGGTACTTAGGGGAGACAGAGTCAAATCCGCTGGGGCCTCAGCCACAGCATCAGGGTCTTCAGAGCCTCCTCAGTCAGGTCTCTGCTCTCATTGGTCCCGAGGGACAAGGCAGGGAGGGTGGGTAAGGATAGACCCTCTGCCCTGGAGGCCTTGACAAGGAAAGTTCCCTGGTCCCCAGATGAGCAGACTTTGCATCCTACCCAGAGCTAGCCTGGAACACCTGTGGTGCTGCAGCTGTGGGATGTCCATGCTATGGTCTCAGAGGCCAGGAGAAGCATGCCTAGGTAGGGAGGGAGAGGACTTCTGGCGGAGGTGCTGGGAAGTGCCCTCCAGGATGCCAGGGCTGGAGCTGAGGCTGGGCATAGGAGGCTGAGTAAGGTAGAACGTCACGCTGTGTGCGTTTGGCTCTTCCCTGTGAGGAGTGGGCCAGGCCTGTGGACAGGTCACAGCTCTGGGAGGTGAGTGCTCCAGACCCTTCGTTCACATACTTGTGCGGTCCTGGGGTTACAGAGGCCTCTGACAGAGGTGGCAGAGCCCTGGAGAGGACGGGACAATAAAGAGGAGCCAGAAGCAGCTCATACCCACCCAGCTTCATGCCACAGCTCTGTAGCCTGCTCTGTATCTAAGGCTGGGTTTAATGTCCCAGTGCCTCAGTGTCCCCATCTGCAGAAAAGGTGGCCCTCATCAGGAGCGTGGACACTTTCAGCATGGGTCCTGGATCGCCGTGGCCGTGGTGTCAGTACCTATCCCCACCCATGCCTTCACCCTCCCCTCGGCCAGCTGTCTTCCTGACTGTGTCCTGTAGTCCTGCCATCAGGTAGAAGTGCTGGTTTTGGCCTGAGGTCCTCCTCAGCTCCCCACCCCAGGACCCAGCTGCCTCCCTTTCCTCTGGTCTCGGGTCTCAGCACCTCAGGGAGCAAAGTGTCATTTGAGCACGAGCCACATGGCCTCCATCCTTGCCTGTGACCCACACTTGTCCCTGGAGGGCAGCTGTCAGAGGGCGGGACCAGGCCTGTCTTTCAGTGAGGAGTCTGCCTGCTGGGTAGAAGGCCCAAGCCTGTCTGTGGAGGGAGGACAGAGGAGGAGGGAGCGCATTACTTTCCTTGTTGTTGTGACCAAGTAACTGACAGGAAGCAGCTTAAGGGAGGAAGACTTCACTTTATCTCCGTTTAGGAAGGGACACAGCCCACCATGTGGGGAAGGCGTGAGGACAGGAGCATAGGCGGCTGGTCACATTGTGTGTGGAAGCAGTTGGGAAGCTGACAGGAAATAGGACCAGGCTGTGAAACCTCAAGGCTGGCCCTACTGACCCACCTCCACCTCCTAATGGTTCCTCCTGCAACCTTCCCAGACAGCACCACCAGCTGGGGACCAAGTGTTCAAACACATGAGCCTGTGGGGGACGTTTCACATTCAAACCACAACACAGAGGGAGGAGGAAGGGGGTGGGAGATGACCTTGACTTCTGTACCAGGTCCTTGACTATGACTACTACGGGGCCTACGGAAACCAGGCGCACAGGGACTACGCCTATAGCAGGCTGCTGGCGGACGAGTATACCTTCGACTTCCCGCCTCACCACCACGTGGTAAGTGACCTGCTCTGGGCTTGAAGCCATGTCCCTACCCTGTTGCCCATCCCTCACATAGAAACCGAGCTGCCAGCGGGGATCCTTGGCCGCTCTGCAGGGTTTCCACTTGCTCCAGGCTCGCCCCCTTTCCCACTAGTGCGGTTTTGTAGGGAACCGTGTGTTTCTCTCCCTTCTCTACGAAGACCTTGCCAGTAGTCAGGTCTGAGGGCCCCTGCTGGAGGCAGCAGGGGGCAGGAGTGAGGCAGACGGCCTAGGTGGGCTGGGTGGCCTTGGGCCTGGGCTGCACCCTCCTCCAGCCCTTCTCTGGTCCTGAGGTTGTGAGGGTCCATGAGAGATGTGGCTTCCCCATCCTAGGACTCAGAGGGCTCCAGCCTCCATTTTTAAAGTATTTTATTATTTTTCTTTTACATGTATGAGTATATTGCCTGCATGTACGTAAGTGCACCTGTGTCGTACAATGCCTGTGGAGGTCAGAAGAGGTCATCAGATCCTCTGGAACTGGAGTTATGGACGATTGTTAGCCACCATGTGGGTGCTGGGATTTGGACCCAGGTCCTCTGCAAGAGCAGCCAATGCTCTTAACCACTGAGCCATCTCTCCAGCCCTCCAGCCTCCATTTGTAATGGAGTGGGTTCAGGACAAGGTGGGCTTTCTGGCCTTGGGTCCCAGGCTGCTGGATGGCTCCTTCAGGGTACAACCAGGGGAAAGCAAGGCTGGAGTGGCTGTACCATTAGAGTCTGTTGACTGACTCCAAAAGTGGGCAGGGGCGACTGGCCAGACAGGGCACTGGGCAGTCCAGGGCCCCTCCTCCGTGTGCCTGGCTCTCTAATCCCTGGGACCAAGGTTGCCTAGTGTTGGGGGCTGGGTGTCCCCTGTGCCCCACAGGCAGCTCTCACAGGATGAGTAATGATGGTGTCCGTGTCATGCTTCCCTGGCCGTTGAGCACCACAGCCCCCCCATCATGTCGTCAGGCCTGAGGCACCCTTGACATCCTACTGTGCATCTGAAGGGGGTACAGAACCAAGCCCTCCTCCCAGGCACCCACAGCTCAGGGTCAGCGTGGGGAGAATCAGGAGAGAACTATGGTGCCCAGGTAGGGCTTCACAGGCAGGGGCGGAAGTCACTGAGGTCCCTCACAGTCAAGGTCAAGGCTGTATCTCTCTGAACACTCCAGGCTAAACCAGAGCCTTCATCATCATTGAACATTGTGTCCAGTCCTGAAGGGAAAGGACCATTTGCTCTATAGGTAAATGGTTATTCGAGTGTTGAGACAGGGCTCTCTGAGATGGAAGCAGGAGGCCCAGGCATCACAAAACGCAGAAGCTGCAGGGCCGGCTTGGTGCCCAGTCCCTGTGTGCACGGCTGTGTCTGGCACCTCGATACCCCGCACTTCTACAGCCTGTGGGACTCCTGGCCCTGGAGGGTGTGGAAGCTCGGGGGAGATGCCAACTTGGCTCGGCAGCTCCATCCAGCCTCCGCAAATGCGCCTGAGACGGTCCCCGAGCATGAAGCAAGTACTTGTTCTCCGCACTGGCAGCGTCCCCAGCTGGGCACACGGCAAGCGGCAGCCCAGGGAGCTGTTTGGGTTTTGGTTGGCAGCTCCAGGAACGTCAGTAAAGGTACCGGAGAGCCTGGTGGACAGCGAGTGCTCCCTAATGATGTCTAGAGCAGGCAGAGGAGCTGAGGACTCAGGAAGCGGCCAGTCCCTGTGGCCTGCCGTGTGCTGCCAGATGTGTGCCAGCCTGCTGCCTATAGGCTAAGCCAGGTCTGTGGTGTTTGCCTGCCTGCCTGGTCTGTTTTCTCTGACTCAGTTCTGTGTAGGACACTGGAGACCTCCATAGTTACCCTTATGATGGAGGATGCTGAGGGCAGCCCTGTGGCTATCTCTGTTGCTCTGGCCTCCAGAGCCCCAGGCATACTGAGACGGTGGCGGCTGCTTCATGGGGTGATTGTGAGTTAGAGAGGATGAGGTTCGCTACCAGTTTATTTGGTGTTAGGGATGGAACCCAGACTTTCAGGCATGCTAAGCAAGCGCTCTACCAACTGAGCCATGATCAGGCCTCTGTCATTACCCAAGATTCAGCCCATTGTGTGAGTAGGACCCATCTCATCCATTCATGCCATGGTGAGCATCTGTGTACACGTTTGTTTGGAAGTGGCATTCAGTTCTCATGGGTACATGGGTACCTGGGCTGGAATTATCAGCCGTGTGGTTGCTCCGTGTCCAACATTTGCTGAGCTGCCCGCTGTTTACCACGGTAGACGCAGTACTTTACACCCCACCAGCTTGTGTGAGGGTGTGAGGATCTAGTTTCTCTCTACCCTCACCAGCACTTATTATCTGGCTTTTTATTCTGGCCATTCCAGTGAGTGTGTGGCAGTGTCTCATGTGTTCAGCTATTAGCACTGGGTGCCTTCTTACCTGTTTGCTTTTTATCACTTGAGTATCTTCTTTGGGGACATGTCTGTTGAGATCCTTTGGGCATTTATAAATTAGATTATTTGGTTTGTGTGTGTGTGTGTGTCTGTCTGTCTGTCTGTCTGTCTGTGTAGGCCAGAGGTTGATGTTGGGAATCTTCCTCAACTGCCCCCCACATTATTTTTTGAGATAAGCATCTCTCATTGGATCCAGAGCTTGCCAATTTGGCTAGACTGGCTGGCCAGCAAGCCCCAGGGATCTTCCTGTCTCCACCGCTCCAGTGCTGGGGTTACAGACATCTGACTTTTCTGTGGGTTCTAGAGGTCTGAGCTCAAATCCTCATGTAGGCACTTTACCAATGGAACCATCTCTCAAGCCCGATTTGATTTTTTTATTTTTGAATTTTAAGAGTATTTATTTATTTATTTATTTATTTATAAACAGGGCTTGACTGATCTTGGAGTCTTGGGGTTACAGGGGTTACCATGCCTCATGGAATTTAAATATTTTTTTGTTTGTATTTTTGAGACAAGGACTCACTGTGCAGGCCCAGCTGACCTGGAACTTGCTATGTAGACCAGGCTGGCCTCTATCTTACAGAGATGCCTGCCTCTGCCTCCCAAGTGCTGGGATTAAAGGCATGTATCATCAAACTCAGCCTGAACTTGAATAATTTTTTTAAATACATATTTTGGGGACTGGAGAGATGGCTCAGCAGTTAAGAGCACTGACTGCTCTTGCAGAGGACCGGGGTTCAATTCCCAGCACCCACATGGTGGTTAACTGTCCATAACTTCGGTTCCAGGGGGTCCGATGCCTTCTTCTGACCTCTATGGGCATTGTACGACATGCAAGTGCATATGGGCGCACTTACATACAAGCAGGCAATACACTCATACACATAAAACAAAAACAATAAAACATTTTTTAAAGTACATACTTTGGAGCTGGGGAGATGGCTCAGTGGGTTAGAATTCTTGCTGTGTAAGCATGAGGGCCAGAGTTCAGATCCCCAGCATCCATGTAAAGAGCTGGCATGACTGTGTGCTCCTGTGACTCCTGTATTGGAGGTGGGTGGAGGAGACAGGAGGATCACTGGGGCTTGCTGACCATCAGCCTAGCACCAGGTTCAGTGAGAGTCCTCATCTCAAGGGGAAAAGGTAGAGAGGGGGTAGAGCAGGACACCTAACATCCTCTTGTTGCTTGTGTGGTCAGCATCATGTCTAGGAGACTCATTCGGGTCCACAGACTAGATACTTCTAGTTTTCTAAGAGTTTATCTTTTTTATTTTATTTTATTTTTTTATTTTATGTGTATGTATGTATTGCCTGTATGTAGGTAAATGCATCGTGTTGTGCAATGCCCGCAGAGGTCAGAAGAGGCTGTTGGATCCCCTGGGACTGGAGTTATGGACAGTTGTTAGCTGCCATGTGGGTGCTGGGATTCGAACCCGGATCTTCTGCAAAAACAACCAGTGTTCTTAACCGCTGAGCCATCTCTCCAGCCCCAAGGGTTTATCATTTTAGCTCATGTCTATAACCCGTTTTGAGCTGAATCTTGTGCGTGGTGGAGGAAGGGGTCCAATGCCATTCATTTGCACGTGGCTATCATTTATTGAGAAGACGCTTTACCCCTGTGCGTTCTCCTGGGACCCTTGTGAAAACAAACTCACCGTAAACATCAGGGTTTAGAGCCAGGCTCCACATCTCCATCCTTGGCTCAGTCCAACACCACTTTGTCTAGGGTGGTCCCCCTGCCCCCAGTATGTTTTGGAATCGGGAAGTGTGAATCCCTTAACTTTGTTCTTTTTTGAGATTATCTAGGATATTCTGGTCTTTTGCAATTCCCTGTGAGTTTTTCAGTTTTGACAAAGGATCCACCTGAGATTGTGGTACAGATTGAGGGGATCTGTAAATCACCTTGGGTGTGTGGTCGTCTTAGCAACAGTAAACCTTTCATGGGCTTGGGTGTCGTTCCACTTATTTAGGTTATTGATTTCTCTCAAAAACATTTTGTCTAGGGTCTCGGAAGACGGCTTGGTTGGTAAAGTGCTTGCTGGGCAAGCGGAAGGATCTGAGTTCAGAACCCCAGAACCTAATAAAAAGTCAGGCACTGGAGAGGCAGAGACAGAAGGATACCCCCCAAGCCAGGCTAGCCAATCAGGAAGCTCCAGGGAGAGCCATTGAGGAAGACTCCGGATGCCAGCCTCTGGCCTCTTACACACACACAAACACACACACACACACACACACACACACACACACCCATGCACACACACACACACACACACACACACACACACACACACACACCCATGTACACACACAAGCATTTTCTAGTTTTTACAATAAAAACTTTACATTTCTGTTGTGAAGCTGATTTCTAGGCATTTTCATGGCTTTTGAGGCTGTGGTAAACAGAACTGCTGTTTGCTTTTCAAGTTGCTCTGTGTAAATACACAGTAGATTTCTTTGGTTTTGTGCATTGACCTTCTTCCCTTCTTGCGCTGGGCTTAGTTTGCTCTCTGTCTAATTTTGCGGCGGGGCAGCAGGGTCCCTGGCTTGCGGTCTTCCTCTGTGTGTGGGTGTGAAGCCCCTGTCAGCCCATCTTTGAGTGGGACTGGGTGGGCTTCATTTTTGCTAACCTCTTGCAGCTTCTGCCGGCCTGGTGTGACTTTTCCCTTTAGTCTGTGCCATTTCCTCGTGCTCTTCCCGTACTCAACTGCTACCGGTTTCTGATGTCACTTCCCTACGATGTAACTTCCCTGTGATCCCAGAATCGACCTTGTAGGATTCCAGTGTTTTTCTGTTTTGAGACAGTTTCACACAGCCTAGGCTGACTGCAAACTCACTATGTAGTCAAGGATGACCTTGACCTTCTGATCCTCCTGCCTCTACCTCCCTAATGCTGGGATTATAGACTTGCAGCACCATCCGTGGCTTTTTAAAAATTAATTTATTTATTTGTGTTTATGTGCGTGCATCATGGCGCACATATGGAGGACAAAGGACAGCTCAGAAGAGTTGGTTTTCTTCTTCCATCATGTGGATCTCGGATCATCACATGTATGATCTCAGGTCCTCAGACTCAGTGGCGAATGGTTACGTACTGAGCCATCTTGCTGGCTCGGCATCCCTGCTTTTGATTGCAGTGCTTCTGAAAGAGCGAGCCTGTTTATAACCTGGTGCTGGATATCTCTTTGTGGTCCCCATGCTCAGGGGAAGTGTACTGCTATGGGCTCCAGCGCTGGGAGGGCTGTGCAGGTGGGAAGTGAGGCAGCAGGAAGCTCTAAGGAGGAATGTCAGGAAAGGCCCAGCCTCCCATCTCCAGAGGCAGCACCCCTCAAGACCCCCTCCTCCACTGGACCTTTCAGATCCAGAAGGAGTGTCTGGCCTGCAGAGGGGCTGCTGCGGTGTTCAACATGTCATACTTTGGCAAGTTCTACCTGCTGGGGGTGGACGCCCAGAAAGCTGCAGACTGGCTTTTCTCAGCAGACGTCAGCCGACCTCCAGGTACTGGGCCCAGTGGTGGGACAGACCCTCTCCTCTCCCGCTCAGCACCAGGCGGAGGTCTGTGGGCACAGCTGTGGGCCCGGGGACAAGGTGGCAGTCCGAGCCCACCTCCAGGGCCTTCCCCTCCTCCACTCCTCCCTCTGACCTTCCTCCTAACCCCTTCTGGCTCCCTTCCGTCTTTATCCAGAGGGGACATATGACCATGGACACTCCGTAGTACCCCCAGCACTTAAGCTCAGCCACACCCCTGCAACAGGGTGGTCTCCCCATGTGGGTTTGCCAGAATTAAAACTCTATAATACTTAAATTTTAATTTTGAGTAAATAATGAGAAATTTTGGGTACTATTTACCGTGCAATATTTGGGGTAATCATCTGGTTTTTGTCGCCCACCCACCATCTTTTTTTTTTTTTTTTCTTTTTTGCCCTTTTGGGCCAGGGTCGCCCTGTAGCCCCAGCTGTCCTGGAACTCGCTATGTAGACCAGGCTGGCCTTGAACTCACAGAGATCCACCTGCCTCTGCCTCCCAAGTGCAGGGATTAAAGGCGTGCGCCACCATGCCCGGCCCACCCATTGCCTTTCTTACCCGCCCACTGTCTTACCCACCCACCGTCTTACCCATCCACTGTCTTACTCACCCTCTACCCACTCCAAACCCACCTGTCTTCATTTTTATTCCTTTCCTGTGGCTGCCACAACAGAGTTCCATGAGCTGGGTGGTCCTGCAGGCCAGAGGTCAAGATCAGGGTACCAGCCCAGCCCTGTTGCTCCAAGACTTGGGGTGGAGTTCCTTCTGTCTCTTCCAGCTCAGTGGACGCTGGGATCCTTGGCCTTGATTGGTTTCCAGTTATGTTCCCTCTCTTCCTCTGATGCCACATGTTACTACCCCAATTTTTTTGTATGTATATGTCCATGGGGATGTGGGTGCACATGTGTGGATATGCATGTAGAGATCCAGAGGACAGTCTTGAGTATCACTCCTCATGAGGCTCCACCTTGTTTTTTTGAGACAGGGTCTCTCTTTGTCCTGGAGCTTGCCAATTAGGCTAGGCTGCTTGGCCAGCAAGTCTCAGGGACCCTCCTGTCTCTGCCCCCCGGTGCTGGGATTACAAGGACATCAAGCTTGAATTTTCTACATGGATTCTCGGGACTGAACTCAACATCCTCACGCTTGAACAACAAATGCTTTACTAGCCAAACCATCTCCCCAGCCTCTTGTCTTCCTGTAAGCAGTCCTACCGGATGGGAACCCACTCAAATGACCTTCCGTTATGTAGGGTTATGAAGACCCTACTTCAAAATAATGTCTTATCTACAGGTCCCTGAGGTTAGGTTAAGATTCCAACATGTATGCTGAGCATAGCAGCACACACCTTTAATCCCAGCACTCGGGAGGCAGAGGCAGGCAGATCTCTGTGAGACTGAGGTCAGCCTGGTCTACATAGTGAGTTCCAGGCAGGCTGGGGCCACAGGGAGACCCTGTCAAAAAAAAAAACCAAAAGCCCACCAAAAACCCAAACAAAAGATTCCAACATGTGCATTTGGGAGTCGTGATCCAACCCACGGCACTCTGTCCAGAAAGTGAACTCTCGATTCTTTGGTTGTTAGCTTGAGCCTTTCACAGCTGTGCTATCCCCCCAGCCCTGTATACAGCCAGCTAGTGACCCTCCTGATCACCCCCATGTGCAGCTCCGTCTTGCCCCTGTGAATTCTCCATCAGCCCTGCCCACCCGCTCACCCTCCACTGCCACTCTCGCCCACCAGCCCATTCCACCGTCCTCTCCGTCCATCTGACCACCACCTAGGCACCCGCCCCACCTTCCACCCAGCGCCTACTTGCCTCATTGATTCATTCCCCTTCCTGCTGTCCAGCCATGTGGTCACCTACCCTGTAGATATCAGTGGGGACTTCTGCTGTATAAGCGTATTGGGCACGGGGCTGAGGGAAGAGCTCCGTAGCTAAAATCTGTCAGTGACGAGGGTGCGGATGAAGATAAACTCAGGCAAGCATTTTCAAAAATCCTCCCCAGGTAACAGCTGTGGATGACCGGCCATCAATAGTCTAGTTGAAATGGAGTCATGGGGTGGAGGTGGGGGGCTTATGAGGTAACCACCCTAGGGGACCTGCCATGGGGTTCTCTAGACTGTGAGGAAGAGCAGGCTTTGGTGATGGTCACACCTGGATTCTCCTTTCCACCAGGCTCAACGGTGTACACATGCATGTTGAACCACCGGGGAGGCACCGAGAGTGACCTGACCGTCAGCCGCCTGGCCCCTGGAACCCAGGCCAGTCCCCTGACTCCTGCCTTTGAAGGTAAGGCTGGTTTGGGGAGCAACTTTGGTATGGATAGCGTCTGCTCTGGGGCTGGCAGTCACCAGTGGCCGGAAGGTTGGGGATGGCTGCCCAGGGCAACTCTAGAATTGCCTGTCATGCCCACTGTGGTCAAGACCTGGAGATTAGTGGTCTCAGTTCAGGCTAAATGCAGGCTGTGTTCAGGAGACACTGCTGGTGCTCTGAGCACTCCATAATTGTGTCTTTAAACCTGTTGGTGTTGTAGCATGTTGGAGCAGCCTCGGTGTGGGCACACTAAGCTCAGCTGCCCAGGACAGGAGCCCAGGAAAAAACTGCACCTCCTTCTCAGAGCTCAGACCCCCACCCCCCGACCTCTGGGCTAGGCACAGCCCTCTGCTTCTCTGTGCACACCCCTGATGACAGGCAGCTCAGTACTTTGGTCCTGTTAGTACAGCATTGGCTGTTACATCTAGCCAAAACTGTCTCCTATCTTCCCGACCCTGAATCCTATCGTCAGTTCCCAAAGGATCAGACCCACCTCCTGTCCTGTAGTCTGTGTCCACCAGGGGAGGAGCGGAACAGAGCGGGCCCATCTTTTCCCCAAAGACGGCACCTGTACCTTCACAAGACTGTTCTGCAGGGGATAGGCACCAACTGTATGGTTTTCTGGGCCGTTGTTCAGGAGAGTAACCATCAGTGAGCAGTGCTGGGCATGGGAGGACACCAGGCTACCTCCTAGCTCTCACATGTTGCTTGTCATCAGTAGGACTCAGTGGCCCTCGCTGGAGCTAATCCCCAGCCTGGCCATGGACAGAAGGAGAGGGGAGGAAGCTCACTAAGAAATCAGTTCCCTCATTAATGTGTGTGAGGCAGCCACAGTTCTGGGTACTGAACCTAGGTCTAAGTACCCTGAGTTACAGCCTCATCACCTCTTTATAATTTTTCAATTTTGAAACAGTGTTTCGTTAAGTTGTCTAGACTGCCCTGGGACTTGCTCTGTAGCCCAAGCAGGCCTTGAAATTATGATCCTCCTGGCTCAGCCTCTCATGTTGCTGGGTTGGCAGACCTGTGCCACCTGCCCAGCTCTCAGTAACAACTTAAAAAAAAATGATTTATTTTATGTGTATGAGTGTTTTTCTTGCATGTATGTAAGTGCACCATGTACATGCACTGGCCGTGGAGGCCAGAAGAAGGCATTGGATCCCTTGGAACTGTAGTTACAGTTATTAGCCACCACGTGGGTGCTAGGAACCGAATCTGTCTTCTCTGCAAGAGCAACCAGTGTTTTTTTTTTTACATATTTTATTTATTATTTTTGTGTTATGAGTGTATTGCCTGCATGTATGTAAGTGCACCTGTGTCATGCAGTGTCCTCAGAGGACAGAAGAGGACATCGGGTCTCCTGGAGTTGGAGTTATGGATGGTTGTTAGCCACCATGTGGGTGCTGGGAATCGAGCCCAGGACCTCTGCAAGAGCAGCCAGTGCTCCTGACTGAGCCATCTCTCCAGCCCAGCCCAGCAGCTACATTTCTTGAGCATGTGCTAGGCTATGTCTAGCTGAGTTGGAGGTAGAAGGACACAGCAATGAACCAAACAGAATCAGGCTCACGTGGGGTTTATATTTCTGATAGGGAAAAAATAAGATTAAAAAAATAAAACCATTGGAGTGTATAGGATGTCAGATGCGTCAAGAGAACAATGAAGCCCGTGTGTGTGCGTGCATGTGTATGTGTGTGCGTGCGTGCGTGTGTGTGTGTGCGTGCGTGTGTGTGTGCGTGCGTGTGTATGTGTGTGCGTGCGTGTGTATGTGTGTGCGTGCGTGTGTATGTGTGTGTGCGTGCGTGTGTGTGTGCGTGCGTGTGTATGTGTGTGCGTGCGTGTGTATGTGTGTGCGTGCGTGCGTGTGTGTGTGCGTGCGTGCGTGTGTGTTGGACTTGGGGATCTCACTGCCCACAGGGTCCTTCAGGGCAGGTTCAGGGATGAAGAGCTGATGGGATCCAGGGTCTTGTGCTGCTGCTGCTGTGGACAGAGTATCATACAATTGGCCTCGGAAAATGTGAGGCTGCTGGTGGGGTGGATGAGGAGGGCTCTTGTGGGCCTGTGTGGAACCTGGGGGACCACCATCTTGCTGTTGTAATGGTGCAGGCTGATTGAGCACAGCTGGAGCACCTGCTTGATCCATCAAGGGTTCAATTGTTCCTCCTTTCAGGGTTCACTAGCAGGCCCAGGGCACCGGGGAAGGAGACCAGCAGGGCAGCATGGCCTTACCTCCCACCCTGGCTGTGAGCAGGCAGGTGCCTAAAGAGACTCCTGAGTGAAGAGTGAAAGAGCCAGATGTTGTCGGAGGCCACAGGAAGTGGTCAATGGTGGACGCTTCCTGAAGGAGCTTCCTGGGACAAGCACCCATGAGGGGAGGGGCCTGGCAGAAACATCACAGGGGCCCTCCGAGAAAGGCTGGTGGGTCTTGGCTCTCAGCTCTGGGAAAGGGGAGGCCCAGGCACAGCATTTAGGTACAGATGCAGAGAGCCAGGCTAGTTGCGGGGGCCAGACGGAGGAACTCAATTGATGGTGTAGATTTCCTAAATCCCTACCACCACCACCTGGCTCTGAGACTTTTCCTCTTTGAGCCTCTGTTTCCCTATCTGTGAAATGGGGACTGGAGAACCTGCTTGCCTTGGCAGCCCCAGGACAGAGCTGGAAGGAGCTAGGAGGGTTGGGAGCAGCCTCCCAAGCCTCCGTTTCCCCACCTTGGGAACCAGGACCTTGGTTGAAACTGTCAGAAAAGTTCTTTGTTGGGGCTGTTCCCATCACCCCCACGGTGCACAGTAACAAGTCAGACTGTGACTGGAAGGTTCCTGGGCCTCACGGTGAGGCTTGCATCTGGGGGATGTGATGGGATGGCCCAGTGAACCCTCTGCTCTAGAGAATGTGGATCCCAGGGACACTTCAAAACTGGAAAAAATAGCTCATGCACTGACACTGTTCCTGTGATGAATATGCATGATATTAAGTATGCATATGTTTAATATGCATGTTAAGACTCAGAGCTCCAGTAAGTCAAGAGAATGTGACAATTTGCATGTGATCAAGGCTGTGTACTAAGCACTTGTCAATCTCAGAAGCAATTTCAAATGATCTTTATTCATCTTTCTTAATATTACAAAAGGTGTACTGGCTTGTCGGAAACATGCCGACAATAGCGAAAAGTGCATACGAGACCGCCACCCACACGTCACCCCACGCGTGGAGACAGCTGAGAGGAGCCCGGCGAGGCTCTGCCATACTGTTCCTGTGGTATCTGCCTTTCACTGTGGGCCACGCTCACAGCTGGCCCCTGGCCCTGTACTCTCTTTGCACGGCAGTTGATTGGGGATGGCTGCCCAGGGCAGGCAGGGGTACCGTTATCAAGCTGACCCAGAGGGAACTCAAGCTGGTCACAGAACGGGGGCGCCGGGGAGTGCCTAGGAGGCTGGGACCTGTAGGGCAAGTATATGCGTGTGTGTATGTGCATGGGTGCATTTGTGAATGCTTGTGTGTGTGTGTGTGTGTGTGTGTGTGTGTGTGTGTGTGTGATGGCGATGATCATGGGCTGTCAGTGGTCTGGGGCTAAGGACACAGTTCAGAACCCCAGTGTCCTCTGGTAACCCCAGCTACGGACCACAGAGCCCTCTGGTGGGGTTAGTCTTTCTGTCTCTCTCTTTTGCTCATTCATTCACGAGGAGGAAGGGAGGGAGGTTTTAGTGGGGCCTGGCTGGTGCTCTGGTAGCGGGAGGTGGGGCAGGGAGCGGTAGGCAGGCTGACCAGGCTAGTGATGATATGCCAGGGCCTGGGGCCACTTGGAGTGCTCTCAGGATCGGGGGGTAAGGAAGGTGGGAGCCGTGGGTGATGCCAAGGGGGCTTCTCTGTTGGTGAAGGGGGTTTCCTGGAGACTGAGGCCTTGGGCTGGATCTGGGAGGACAGGCAGGGTGACTTAGTACACACAGTGAAAATGTCTGGAGGATTCCAAGGCCGGTTTGGAGGAAGGCTGAAGGTGGTGAGTTCATGGCTATCTGGACCTTCCTTCCCTAGCTGGTGTGACAGCAAGGCTGAGCCCTGAGTGACAGAAGGAGAGTCCCCGGCATGGAAGTTCCAGGCAGGGTAGTTAGGCCATCCCAGCTCCACCGCCTTCATCAGAGCCCAGCCAGTACTGGGGAGACAGCACAGCCCCCAGTCTGCTGCCAGCTGGTCCTTCCCCAGCCAGGAGGGAAACTGAGGCACCTGGGTTTCAGCCACACCAAGTGGCTGACCCTGTGTTCCCAGGACAGGGGCAGGCCCAGACTAAGGGTGTCCTCAGGACTTTTCCCCTCTCCGCAACTGTGCCCTATCTAGTTGCGCTGGGGCATGGTTGGGGCAGGGGCTAGGCCTGCCTAGGTATGGGCCCAAGCCTCCCCTCTCCCTCCACGGTAAAAAGCACCTAAGGTTGGGAGAACTTTGAATAGGAAGGGGCCGTGAGAGGGGACAGGGAGCACAGCCTGTGGCTGTTGTTGTCCTTGCCCCTCAAACCCAACTTCCTGTACCTGCTGTGGCTTTGCCTCCTCCCAGCAACCCTGTGAGGGGCTCCAGTCACACCTGCTTCCCAGGTGAGGGACTGGGGCTCTGAGGCTCGGGGGATAGCACTGCTCGGTAGAGGAACTCCAGAGAGGTCAGTGAGAAAGGAGGTCAGATGGGGGGAGCACAACAGAAGCTTCCCAACCTGACTCCCATGGGCCAGGGCTCCCTCCCCCTCAGCTGCTCCTGGGATGGTGAGGGCAGTGGTTTTGGGGTACCCCACTGCCACAAGTCACAGCATTCCTGCATGACAGTTCTGTGAACCCTAAATTGGAGACGGGACCATGGAGGCTCACTCAGTGTGTCTGTGAGCCAGCTCCAAGGCCACAGAACTGCCCAAGGTCACAGAACCCTGGGACAGTGACTTCCCAGAATGTCTGGTTGAGGTGGACTGCTATCCAAGGGCAGGGGTCCAGGGACAGTGTGGGCTCCATGGATGCCCCATGGCCAGGGCACAATGAGTTCCATCTCTTCCCACCGTGTGTCTCCTCTCTGAAACTCCCTGTCATTTTCTGGGGTCTGGGGACAGGGATGGGTTAGGGTCCTGGGTGTGATCAAGAGTTAGTAGTTACTTTCCAGGGCTGGAGAGATGACTCCGCAGTTAAGAACAGTGGCTGTTCTTGCAGGAGACCCGGGTTCGATTTCCAGTACCCACATGTGGCTAACAACCATCCATAACTCCAGTTCCAGGGGAATCCAATGCCCTCTTCTGACCTCCTTGGGCATTGCATGACATGGGTGCACTTACATGCAGGCAATACACTCAGACACATGAAATAAAAATGAATAAAATATTTTAATAGTTACTTTCCACGTTACTGTGACAAAGGAGGAGGAAGGAAAGGAAAGGAGGGAAAGAAGAGAGGTTTTTGGGCCATGGTTCGCGGGGACAGTCCACCGTGGTGGGAAGGCTTGGTGGCAGGAGCCCCAGGCCACAGCTCACATTGTATCCACAGTCAGGAGGCAGACTGGTGAACGTTGGTGCTCAGTTCCCAGGACCCCAACCCATGGGATGGTGCCGCCCACATTTAGGGTGGGTCTTCCTACCTCAGTTAACCTAATCTAAAACCTCCCTCAGATGTGCCTAGAAGCTTACCTCCTCCTAGGTGATTTTAGATCGTGTCAAGTTGACAATCAAGGTTGATTATCACAAGGGGACTGTTGCCTGAGTCTCCCAGTCCTGCGCTTAGCCCCAGTGAGCTTCAGCGTGATTGAAGTGGGGAACCCAGCAGCGTGGGGCATGTCAGTACAGGGTGAAATGGGAGATGGGAAAAGATTGTCTGTGGCCGCTCAGCACTGGTGGCTGAGGCTGGATAGGATTTTCCAGGACCTGAAACACTAGGGTCCTGTCCTAGTTTGTTCTTCATTGCTGTGACAAAACACTCTGACCCCTACCAACTTGGGGAGGAGAGGATTTATTTATCTTACATCTCCCGTGCCACAGTTCATCTGGGAGCCCAAGGTAGGAACTCAGGACAGGAACCTGGAGGCAGGAGCTGGAGCACAGGCCATGGAAGAACGCTGCTTACTGGCTTGCTCCCCTGGGCCCCGCTCAGCGGCTTTCTTATGCAACACAGGCCCACCTGCCCAGGGGTGGCACCACCCACAGTGGGCTGGGCCCTCCCACATCACTCATAAAGAAGAGGCCCCACAGCCATGGCCACAGGCCAGTCCAATAGAGGCAAGTCCCCGATTGAGGCTCCCTCAACCCAGGTGTGTCAAGTTGACACTAAAGCTATCCAGCACAGGTCTTAACCGTTTTTTGGAAAGTGGGAGAAGACTTTGATGCTGCCCACTGCAGAAACCAAGTTGTATCCTTTATGCGCTAAGAACTGGGGTCCCTGGGCTCACCCCTATCTGTCCTGAGTTCCTGTTCTAAGTCGGGTGCTTCTCTTTTCCAGGGGATGGCTACTACCTGGCTGTGGGTGGGGCTGTGGCCCAGCACAACTGGTCCCACATTACCACGGTGCTACAGGACCAGAAGTTCCAGTGCCAACTTATTGACAGTTCCGAGGATCTGGGCATGCTCAGTATCCAGGGCCCAGCCAGGTGAGGAAGAACGGGGATCTGAGACCTGGGTCACCTGGGAGCACCTGGCAGGCCCTCCAGCCACTTGGGCCCCCAGCCTATGGGGTGGAGCCACCCACATTCAGGGTCCATCTCCCCCTTTCCCACGCCTCTCCGAAAGCACCCCACAGAGGACACTTGGCAGTTTGCACTACCAATCTAGGTGCCTGTCAGTCCAATCAAGTTGAGAAGATTAACCACCCCAGGTGGTTATGATTGCTCTTTCCTTGCTGATAAAACAGTGGCACAGAGAGGGAGAAACATTTACCAAAGTCACAGAGCTCATGGGAGTCAGGGGCAGAATGAGATGGGGTCCCCTAGACTACTCACCAAGTTACAAACCCCCAGGAGAAGATGCATGTGGTCTAGATGTTCCTTGGTGAGCAGCAGGGCCTGCATCCCTGGCTTGCTGGGACCACCGGGGCCTATACTGATGGTAGGCACTCTGAAAGAAGAGGAGGGTGGTGAGCAGACAGGACAGAGGATGCCACTTCTGGAGAGGAGGGTAAAGAGATGATTCACAGCTGAGAAAGGGCTGCCAAGACTCCCAGAGGACCAATGTGACAAAGCCCAGCTGTGGCAGTGGGTGGCATTCTTTCTGCTCTGGGTGTCCTGCCGAGATCCTCCTTGGTGTGCTTAGACGCTGCTGTGGGGCCCATTTTCCCTGATACCTTCAGGCTGACCAAAACAGCAAATCCAGGCTGAGTCTGGACCCTTCCATGACCCAGATATGGCCTTTGCCATGTGACTCTGAGGGACAGTTGGCTAGGTGTGTGCCTCAAGAGTCCAGAGAAGGGGGACAGGAGAGAAGGATTAGAGGCTCAGAGCTGCCATGCTTAGGGCTGTAGACTCAGGGAGCTCAAACACTTACTGGGTTGGACCTACATCTGGCTGCAGGGGCTAGTGGTGCCCTGGGTGTGGCTTCCACTTGCCCTTGGGAAACACTTCAGCTCCCATACAGCAGGTTGGAGTGTGTGTGTGGGAGAGACACACCTGCTGCGCTAGAGGCCCAGCCTGGCCCTTGAGAACCTCCAGCTTCATTGCTTGGTAACCTTGGACAGAACTGGGGCTATTTTTAGAGTGAGGGAGGCAGGTGGGTGAGGCAGGAGGGAAGAAGCACGGGATGCTAAGCAGCCAGATCAAAGCTCAGCATCTGGGACAGAGAGGCAGCCTCCGGAGGCCAGACTGGGTGCTCACTCCTCCTCCCTCCTGACTCCCCCAGAAGGCCCTCACACAAGAATAGTAACATCACCAGCACAAATGGGCCCAGTTATTAACCTATGTGGGAAGCACCTAGCACAGTACCTTGGCCATGGGAAGTATGGCATGAACTGCTACCCAGAAGAACTTTCTGGAAATAGACCATCCCCGAGCCAGCCAATGTGGCAGCTTCTGACCCTTTACCTAACTTTTGACCCCCAAAACACAGCTAGTGTGGTTGAGTTTGTCAATTTAATGAACTCTTGTTCAAACAGCCTCTTTCGCTGCTGGGGACACACTGAGCTAGGTGGAGCGGCCACAGTTGTTGGCATGGGCCTCGGGTACCTGGCACGTGCTTTCATGGTTCTGTGAGGGGTGTCTGGAGGGCCCAGGCTGGTGAGGTCAGGGGTGAAGGGAAGGGGGCGTGCCTCTAGGACTCCAATGGGAGCCTCTTTCCTCAGACCACCTGCTGTTCTCAGAGGACAGACAGCAGCCTTGGTAGATCCAGGTCACTTCCTGACACCCTAGCCTGGGTCAGAATTCCTCAAGTCCCCCCATCCCCGCCCTCCAGGGCCATTTGCAGCATCTGTCCCCCATGGGGGACATAGCAGCCCCATACTTCGCCAGGCTACCTCCCTGCTGCATGGCTGCCCCGGGGCTGTTGGGAGCCTGGGTTCCGGGAGGTCTGGAGACAGCAGAGCTGAGCCGAGTCTCTAGGGCCGGGGTTACATAAGGATCTTGGCAGAAGGCAGTGGCTGAGCACCTCAGGCGGGCGTGGGTGGTAGCTCCAGGCTCTGTGGGGTAGGGATGCTTGGCTGTATCTCTGAGCAACCCCTGCAGCCCTCTGGGACCCCTGATGGGCAGAAGTGGGGGTGTCTCCAGCTCTGTATCCGTGTCCAGCCCAGATGTTCTTAATTGGTCCCGTTCACCAAACACCTTTGTACCAGACAGTTCCTGGTGACATGGAGCTCTGGTTTAGAGGGGCAGGACCAGCAAAGGGACAGGCCATCCTCACAGGTCATGCAGAGATACCTGTGGGGTTCCCTGGGGAGGGGTGCCTGACCCAGACCCATGAGTCTAGGGGCACTGCCTAGAGGAAGGGACTGCTGAGTCAAGAACAGAGGGTGACAGAGGGCTAATACGCAGGAAGCAGCAGGGTGGGGTGTTGAGGGACACACTCGGAAGGATGAGAGTGGGTTCGAGGCTGGGGAGCCTGGGGCGTGGCTCTGTAAGATTTGGATAATGAACAACAGGAGGGTTGGCACTGTGCCGCAGGGGAGAGGGGAGGTGGGGACAGGGCACCTGGGGGGCTCAGAGACCACCGAGGGACGTGCTTCCACAGTGTGGAGTGGAGATGGGCATGGCAAGTGTGAACCGTGTCATAGTTTAGGGTAGCAGTGGGCGTGTACTGCTGTGTTGTGAGACCATCCGGGAAAGACAGTCAGTGCTGCAGGGATATTGCAGCGTGGTCCCTGCTCTCAGGAAAGTGACAGTCCATCAGGAGGATGGGTCTGGTAGCAAGCTCTCCACCTCCTTGTGAACCTGCAGGACTGAGACCAACTCCAGACAGGATATGCAGGCCTGGTTGGAGGATGCCTGGGGACTAGTTGACAGGAAGGTGTACAGGCAATCTCCTGCTGGATTGGGATCTGTCTATTCCTGATAGCTTGGACCAGTCACTTGATTTTTCTGAACAAAACGGAGGCCACCATTGCCAGCTGCTCTCAATGGCCATCATGGTGACACAGGTGGATCCAGTGTTCTCTAGATAACCGCTTTGCCTTGGTTCACCTGCCTGAGACCAGGGCTTGTCCCCAGCCTGGCCTGTGGGCCCTGACAGCCGGTAGGAAGGTGACGTTCTTACCTGGTGGCACTAGCGGTATGTACCCACTGGGATGTTTGGATGACTGTCACTTGTTGACCTCTGCCCCTTGGATGGGGCCTCAGCCCTCCTGTTCACTGGCTCCAGCCAGGAGCACCTGGGGAATGCCACCGGCTTGCCCACTGACCGCTCTGTCCTTGCTTGCAGCCGCACCATTCTCCAGGATGTGCTTGATGCTGACCTGAGCAATGAGGCCTTCCCCTTTTCCACCCACCAGCTGGTGAGAGCAGCCGGGCACCTGGTAGGTAACAGTGGTCACTGGCCTCGGGGATGTGGCTGGCAGCAGCCTCAGGCATGGGGACCTAGGGGCCAGGAGTCTTCAGGTTGGTCTCTTTAGCTCCCTGGGCCTCTGCTGTGAGTTGGGGACTGTGGCAACTAGACTGCCCACTCTGGTGGGAGCTCAGATGGGAGATGAGGGTCAAGGCGCCACGTCATCTGCCCTTTGGTTGGTGCCTGGCATGTGCCAGGCTCTGTCCAGGTAGAGCCTTTGTTGACTACACAGATGCCTTCATGTCTCTTCCCCAAGACTGGGGTGCTTGTTCCCCTAAGCCCAGGTGATCACTATTCCTCTTCCTCCCTGAAAATAACAGGGCTGGGGATGCTTGGCCGTTCCCTACAGGTTTCTCCATCCTCTGGGAGGCTGCACCCCTTGCCCATTCACGGTCCTCCTAGTTTATAGATCTTGGGGAAGGGTTGCTCAAGCAGGAAGTCTGGCCAAACCCCCAACACAGCTCCACTGCAGCTCCTAAGCAGCTCAAGGCCAAGAGCCAAAGCCCAGCTTTTCCAAGGTTGTGGATGGGGTCCTTGCCAGGGTGGTCTGAACATGAGGGGCTCTCAAGAAACCCTGGACAGCCCCTCTACCTTCTGGGCCTGTGTCCTTGTTGGAAAACATGCATCTCTACTTGGGCTTTTCAGGGCTGAAGGAGAGGCTGATGGGGACATTGATGGTGAATGCCAAGTGCCATTCACAGAGGGCTCCCTGTGTGGGGGCACTGTCCACACCATGCTCACATGTCCCTTTGATGATGTCCTTCCCACTGTGGGAAGTTCTGTTTCTGGGCCTCCCAGCATCAGCCCTTCTAATATTTGGGATGGGTATTCTGGCCGGGTCCCCATGCCTGTGCCCCACAAGGGGTTAGCAGCCTCCTTGACCTCTGCCCAGGGATGCTAGCAGCACCCCTAGTGGTGACTAAGGGAACTGAGCCAAAGACACAGGGATTGCCTCTCCCCAGAGGTCCCCTGGACCCTATCTTCTGCAGCTTTACAGATAGATATCCAGGCTGGCAGCAGCAACCCCCAGGTGTGCTGAAGCCCCTGCAGCTCAGAAAGCACAGGATGCTTCCCCAGAGTGAGCTCAGAGAGGCCTTTGTGTTGTTCAGGCTGCCCAGCTAATGAGACCTAAGGACACAGCTACACTGATGTTGCCTGGGCCTGGTGCTCCTTCCTGTCTCCCTCCCTGCTTGGCTATCTCTAGGTTTTTGTGGGGAGAGTGTGGAAGAAGATCAGTGGAGATCAAGAATCCTGCCCACAGAGGGGCCAGACATCCCGTCTTGGTCTTGGGACCAAGCTGGGACCTGTCAGCAAATAAACAATGCGGCGTTGAGTGTTCGGGAGTCTGCTGCCAGAGAGAAAGGGGGATAACGGCAGCCACACGGCCTGTACTCAGACTCCCCTCCTGGAGGCTGCACTGAGGTTTAGGAAGTGGGGTGGGGGGTCTCTGTCTAGCTTGCTTCCTGCCTCTTTAGTGCAAAGCTGCCTGCTGGGACCAGAGAGTAGGCACTCTGAGGGAGCGGCACAGAAGACCCCAGGCTAGGATAGCCTCCAGACCTCCAAGCTCTAGCTTGGGCAATCCCTGGGGTGTTCTGGTGGCATTTGTTGAGTCCATGCACCATCCAGAGTCCAGCTTTGCTGGGGGCTGGGTTCTGATGTGTGTTTGTTGGGGGGGCGGAGCTGTGTCTCTCCCACCACGTTGAGGCTTGGCACAGCCTCAGCCTGTGTGTGGCTTGGATGTTTGTGGAGAGAAGACCAGGTGGGAACATGTTCTCTCCTGTCCAGACCTGGCCACCTCCCTCTGCCAGCAGCACCGCTCCAACACAGCCACTTGGGGCTCCAAGCTCCAGCTGGTCTCCTCCCACAGGGCCCTATCCTGGCCATGGCTGCCTCCCCAGCCCTCCCAGTCTGTCTAGTTATCTTCACCTGGAGCCTGGGAATGGAGCCAGGGCCTGAGCTGAGTGTGAGCCCATACTACCAGGGTCAAGGGTGGGCCCAGCCCAAGGTGGGTGTCTGGGCAGGGGGATGCCCACACTGACTGCTTTTGCTCAAGGCTGGCTTGTAGTGGTATAAAATACATGTCAGTTAATATCCATGGCTGGGCCATGGCACTCTCACAGCACAGGCCTGTCACCCCAACTTCTCAGGAGACTGAAGCAGACGATGGGACGTTCATTGCCAGCTTGGGCTACAGAGTAAGTTCCAGGCCAGTTTGGACAACTTAGCAAGATCTTGTCTCAAAATAAAAAGTCAAAAGAGAGCTGGGGATAGCTCAGTGGTAGAGTGTTAGTCTAGTATGCTTGAGGCCCTGGGTTCAATCCCAGTATTATGAAAAGTAACCGTGGGGCTGGAGAGGTGGCTCAGTGGTAAGGACCCATGACTGCTCTTGCAGAGGACCCAGGTTCAATTCCCAGCACCCACATGGCACTTAACAACCGTCTGTAACTCCAGTTCCATGGGATCCAACGCCCTGTTCTGACCCCCACGAACACTGCACAACACAGGTGTACTTACATACATGCGGGCAATAAACTCATACACATAAAACAAAAATAATGATTTTAAAATTTTAAGAGAGAAACCCCTCCCCAAAACTCATTCTGTTTTCAACCACAGCTGTGTAGCAGGCTCAGGGCCTGAATCAGACCTCACTTTTGAAAGATGACCTTGGGGTACGCATTTGACCTTTCTGTGCATTGCTCTGGTCATGGATTCTCAGCCAGATCCTGAGACATGATTACATAAACCTTGTCTGCCCTGTGCAGCACAGACACAGTGACCAGCGTCTGTCATGTTGGTAAACATGAGAAAGTTCAAGAAAGCCCGTCCCCTCCCGGTCACCTAACCTGCCTATTTCTTTCTCTTTTTTTTTTTGGTCTTTTTGAGACAGGGTCTCCCTGTAGCCCCAGCTGGCCTAGATTCACTATGTAGACCAGGCTGACCCCAAACTCACAGAGATCCACCTGCCCCTGCCTCCCAAGTGCTGGAATTGAAGGCGTGCGCCACCACACCTGGCTGCCTGCCTATTTCTAACATGACTGTGGCCTGTACGCTGTGCTCTGCACGTTCCTAGCAATGCTGTAGACGTCTGCTTGTTCCTTGCGATGTGTCCTGAAGATCCTGCGCCCCCTCCACGGCCTCCGTTGTGCCCAGGATCAGACACTGAATGGGGTTCGTTTGAGCGCACAGCCTGTGCTACCTGCTCGCTCTTGGTCTTCCACCCCCCATGCCCAGCTCTGGTAGGAAAGGAAACTGGTAGGAAAGGAAACTGCTGTCAAGGCCACCGTCCCTGCCTCTGGGAAATGGGGTGTGCCAGGGGCTGGGCAGCCCAGGATTCTGGGGAGCTCTAGCTAGCAGAGGGTGGATACACCAGGGTACGTTCAGCATGGGAGGATTCCAGCCCCTTTTCAACTAACTGGTCGTAACTGGGCTGTCAGACTGGCCTGTGTCATTTGAGGTCAGATCACTCAGACACGGGAAATGCCCCTATCAGGGGCTGGCCCGTGGCAGTCACTGCTGACTTGCCTCCTGGAGCCGTTTGTGCAAGCGGCACCACTGTGGACACTCAGTGAACTCTGGCGTTTCGATCTGAGCCTGTGGGTCTGCTTCTGATGTAAACCCCACCCCCCATCCCCCCAGCAGCCCCTCCCCTGGCTGTTGAAAGAATTCCAGATGTGTTGGCTAGGAGCACCCATGGGACTGAGCCAGACCCAGTGTAGGAGAGGCAGGTGCAGCCCCTGCCCTCTGGGAGCGCATCCCCAGCCATGGACCCTTGAAGAAACCTACAGCTGCAGCCCAGGCCAGAGAAGGAGGGCCATCGCCGCCTAGGGACTGAGAGTCCCCAGAGACGTTCACCGAAGGTAGATTAGGTCGTGGTAAGAGGACGAGGTAGTGACTATTGTTTTAAAGTGAGGTTCATGCTTTGGGGCACTCCTGCCTGAGGTCTGCCCAGGAGGCCAGCAGTGAATCAAGCCCCTGAAGCAGCTGCTTTGCCCCCCATCCCCTTGGCCTTCCCAGCATGCCCCTCACCCTCTGGGGCCCACCGGTTAGCTCCAGCACAGGACTAGAGAGACCACCACCGTGGGGTAGCAATGGGAGCCCTGGGGCCTGGATCCTCAGGACCACCAATGTATCTCAGAGCACATGATTTGCTGTTACCAGGGCTTATGGCTATGCAGAGAAGGTCTCAGTGCTGCGGTCCAGTCTACCCTGGAGCTCTGCTGCCTGGCCCCGAGCGCAGGCACCTCATCTCCGGGGTCACAGTTATGCAAGTTGGGAAGACCTTCGAGGGTCATGCTTGCCAGGTAGTTGACGAACCCAGCTCCCTGGATGTGAGGAACCGCTGAGGTCATGTAAGACCATGCCTGGCCAGGGACTCCTGTCCCAGTGACCTCACCTTTTCCCAAGGGTGTGAAGGAAACATGGACCAAGGAAAACAAGATCTCTTCCCTTATTACCCAGGCTGTGGTTTTGGCCGATCAGGAAAGTTGTCTCTTGATGTGGCCCAGGACACACATCTGAGGTGGTTCAAACCCAGGTCAACAGCCTTTCCATTCCTTGACCTCCAACGGGTGGCAGTTTAGTCTTGGGCAGTGCAAGCTGGCTGGCTGCTGTCCTGGTCCCGGTAGTAAGGCTCATAGGCAAGTGGGAGGAGAGAGTGGGGAAGTGGGTCACAGATTTAGAGGGGCCCTGGGACCAATACCCCTGAGATACCCCAGACTTGAGAGCTTTGAGGCAAATGTTAGATTTCCAGGCTGCTCCAGCCCTCTGAGGGATGCCTTTCTGGGACTCAGTTTCCCTCTCTGTGTAGCACAAAGTTCAGACAATGTCTAAAGTCCTTCTGGACCATCCTTTATAGCTGTTCAAATACTAAAGCCTCTTGGAATCCTGGGGAAGTTTCATACTCTAAATGATATTTTGTGCTGGCTTAAAACTGTGTTGATGAACTGTCCGTCAGCATGTAGAGGCTCT